TATATACTCATTCTAAACACTGGAGTATGACTGGGAGTGGAAGGAAGGAAATTGTTTAAAAGTTTGTAAAACTGTTTTTATTGAATAAATAATATTACTATCAATATGTTTGTTTGTTTGCTTGGTCAGACACATTTGGTATTAAAGAACTAAAAAAATGAAATGGCAAAACCACAACTGTTTTAATAACTGGTTTATTACATAAACATATAAATCTACTAAAAGTAAAAACATGGAATAAAAATGTTTATAGAAAATACATACAAGTTGGGCCTAAAAACGTTTTTTTTTTTTTAAACAATACTGTTTATAATATCATATATGAAACCTAAAAACAAAACTTCAAACTTGAAAACAAATCATGCATCAAAGCCAAAGAAATAAAAGTGTCAAAGTTTTTTTTATAAAATGATTAGCAAAAATGATTGGTAAGAAAAAGGCCTTGATCAATAATGAAAAAAACAACAAAAACTGAAAGGCATTTATATAAAAACAGCTGTGATTAATGGCTTGTAGAAAAAAAAAACACTTACTGAGCATTTTTATTTAAAGACAAATAAAAAGAACTTAAAAACAATACATCTCCAGGCTCACTTCCTGAACCAGCGTATCTTTTGCCGTTGGCTGCTAAAACTTGAAATTCTGGAAACAAATTAAGAAAAACTTTAAAAAATAAGAACAAAAACTATATTTTTTTATAAAAGGGAACTCATAACTTACATTACTGGGTGACCCATAGTTAAAAATTATAAGTTGATTGGATTTATTAGAACGCTTGTAAAACAAACAGACCAAATAATCAAACTTTTTTTGTCTTCAACATGTTTCACATCATGTGGTAATAAATGTAACAGTTTTACAAATCCTTCATAATCTAAAGTCGAACATCAAAAGGAATAACTTCATATTTTGGCATGAACAAGAATAATGATCAAGATGCTTCCGTCATTAGCAAGATGCTAGCCAAATAGCGTCTTTATTAGGACGAGTCTCCTGGAAAACACTAAAAAAGTCACTGGTTCAGCCCAGCAAACAAGGTTAAAATAAATAACATTTTTGTTTTGACTTTAAACTAATAAATTATACTATTTGTTTTTATTTATTTCCAGACTTTGCGCGAAGCTAAGCTAAGCTAAGCTAAGCTAACAGACTGCTGGCGAAAGGCATTCACTGATTTAAGTTTTATCCCCAATTACTCTGTTAGAATAGCAAAACTGAAATTTCGCATATAATCTTAAGATAAAAAAAAGACTGTGCTTTAAATAATCCAATAAATGAAAGTATATGTATTAGTTTTACAAAGTCTTAAGGTATGTAACCATTTTCATAAAGGCACTACAATCTTAGAGGAAAGCAACTGCACCAGAATAATAAAAGCTACTCTGTCTTTAATAAAACTCAGTCCTTTGTTTTTTTTTTATTTATTTTAAAACTGTGTGTAATAAGTTTCAGCTGTTGATAATTCAGTATTCAGCCACAAGAACGAGCCTTCGTGCTGTTTAACTTTCCAAGCTTCTGCCCACATTTCTCTTGAAATGAAAGCCACACTTCATCAGTGACTCGGCTGACTTGTTTACCGTAAATCCACTCGTAAAAAGGCTTCTTGTTAAAATGCATTTAAGTTTATAATGCATTAAAGTGAGTTTTGAAATCAGGAATATATAAAAGTTTTACTTTTAACAGTAAAATATCAGGGAGCAAGTGCGAGTTACATTACATTTTTATCATCTGTGGATAATATTGATGCCCAAAAAGGGTTCCATCTTCTTACAATAAACAAAAACAACAAAATTTAAATCAGCTTCATCATCGTTTTTTTTTTTTTTTTTTTTTTTTTTTTAGTGTAAGAGCTGCTTTGTAGGTCATTTACCTCACAAAATAAAAACAATAATAATAATAATAATACATTCGGATAATGTCATAATCACAAACCACACAGCAAACTCTAAAAACCTTCACAAACAAGAATAAACAAAGACAACATATTGTTGATTTACCTTTTTTTTTTTTTTTAGAACACCTGAGCTCCGGTCAGAGTCGTCAGCTGACATTTTATTGAAACGTACCCTCGCTCCCTGCAACCCCAGAGTCATTTTAGGTTATTTTATTTGCGTTGATGTGAGACTCTGGTTAAGTTTCAGCAATATTTATCCTGTTGTTTTGTTTTTTTTAAACCAGTGCTTTTAGCATCTTAACATGAAATCATCACAACCAAATCCTTTTAATCACAGCAGACTGATTTGATTTAAACCTAAATTGGAACTATGAGTAACTTGTGACCTGTACATTCACTGATCAACAGTTAACAAAATTTGTAAATGTCCATTGTATCAGTCGAAACAATATATAAAATATATATATATATAAATCAGAGGCAGGCAGCACTATTTTACAGGCGTTTAGAAATAACTGATTAGGCACGAGGAGGTAACAGCCCGAGTGGCGTTTGTGTTCAGAACAGAAGCGTTTACCGTTGCCTGATATAGTTTTTAATAGAGTGATCCACACTGTTACCAGGAGTCCTGCGGAGCGACGGGCTTTAGTGCGACGGCAGAGTGGCGGCATTGGCTGCGCTCAGCTGACCCACAGCCATTACCAGGATGTCTTTCTTTTCTTTGTAAAAGCGCAGCTCCCTGCCCGCCAGTCGGGCGTCCTCCAGTTCTCGCTCCGTCGAGGCCAGCTCCTGAGCGATGGTACTCGCCACGCTCTGCTCTCGGTTCACCCAGTCAGCCGCCATCTGAGTGCGCATGTCGTCGTCCAGGGCCCGGTGGGAGTAATGGGCGAGCACCTCCTGCGGGGGGTTCAGGCACAGGACAGAGTCAGAGACACAACTAATGTTCAACAATGTCTTAATTCAAGTTTCCTTGGTGATGATTCATGTCATAAGATAGGGGTGTCCAAAGTGCGGGCCGAGGGCCATTTGCGGCCCTTGGAGTGATTTTGTGCGGCCCCCGACTGCGATTAAAGAATGGTATAATTTGAACCCACTGAGGTTGATGCAGATGTAGACCTTCTTTAGATTTAATGGTGATATTTCTTAAATATACTGTTAAATATTGTTTGATTTAACAGCAAAACAGATAAAAATAATCTTCTCAAAATGAGCTAAATTAAGTGCAATACAAATATTTAGCTATAATTAATCCTTTTATTCTACAACAAACTGTTACTGACTTCTACTGGAAAGTTAAAAAAATTTGGATAATAATTCATAAAACGTCAAAATATAACACGTGTTTTCCAAGAAAATAATTTCAGTTGATTTAACAATGGATGGGGAGAAATTGGACAGTTTTAAATAAATATAAAGTGGTATCATCGACATACACGTTCATCAACGTTAACAGTGTCCCTTCAATCTCTCTGTGAACCTGTTGCTGGACAGTTTTTCAAATCACGCTTTTTAAAGTGTTTTATTTTCTTAAATTCAAAATTTCCTGGCCCACGAGTCCTTTCATCTAGACAGTTCTGGCCCACCAATGAAAAATGTCGGAAGAGAAAAAGTTGACAAACTAAAGAGATGATTTGTAAAAGCTGTTTTACATAAATTTAGCTGATGATATTTAATTCCTCTCAGAGTGAGAAGAAAACTTTACGTAGAACAGCTCATTCCTTTAAACAAACACCCAACGTATAATTTCATTCTTTGCGACAGCTGTGAAAGCCAGCCCTGTACTTGTGTAATTGAAGCCACGTGTGAGACGGGTTCTGTCACGGTACCTGCCGGGAACACTGCCGCTCTCTCATGGCTTTGAGGCTTCCATTCCAGTGCAGCAGCTGGAACACAGTCATCAGCTCCTGCAGTTCAAAACACACCCGGAAGAAAAGTCCAAAATCACTTTAGAAAGTTCAAAGTTCACCAAATTAACTTTTACTTTGGCAAGCTTTCGTTAGCTTCCTGTTTTTAATTCAAAATATGGTAACATTTCCAAACCTAAAGCTTCCTTCCCTTTAAATAAATGAAAAAAACTAGGGATGCACAATATTATCGGCATGGTATCGGCCGATATTAGCGATAAAGTTAAATATCGGACATTCCAGCAAAATAACTCACCGATATAAAAGGCGCTGTTTATAAATATATATATATATATATATATATATATATATATATATATATATATATATATATAAGGCACTGTTTTTGTATCCCTGTTTGAGTGTTGTCATTGTGTTAGAGAGAGTAAATGTCAGGAATAAATTTGACATTAAACATAATTCAAGTTGAAGTGTTTTATCATTTTCAGCCCCCTTTTTGACATCTGCATTTAGTAGCAGTCCAAATTTACAAAGACCAGTCTCTGTAAGTAAGCCTAGGGGGGAAAATATCGGTGTTGGTATTGGTTATCGGCCAAATAAGTTTTAACATATCAGTATATCGGCCAAAAATCCAATATTGTGCATCCCTAATAAAAACTGTCATGTTATTACCAAACTGCAGCAAGTAGCCCCACTGGAGGACAACTTTATCCTAGTGTGGGTTTAGACATTACTAATAATCTGACACGATTAACATAAATGACAATAAATGAGGTTTTCACACCTGGAACTCCAGCATGGACTTCCCTTTGTTGGACTCGAGCATGAAGCGAAATGCTCCGATGCCTGTGTTTGGATTGTCAGCTTCTTCTCGGTTTCCCTGTGAACAACGACCGCCAGTCAAACTGTGGAAACAGCTAAAGGTCCGTACGTGCAGTATGCAGCTGCAGGAGCACAACTTAAAACAACGATCAGTAAAATCCACTGAACCACAGGTTTAACGACAGCACATCCTTCAGTATTTGGTCTAACTTACATTGAATGAGGCCAGGGCCTCGCTCACACTCTTCTCTATGAAGTCGTCTGTAATTCGGCGCGAGGGGTGTTCGTTAAAAACGGAGTTCATCAGAGCGATCTTGGCCGCGCTGCGCCGAGCTTCTGCCTTGGTCGGGCAAAACTGTTGAATATCGAGGACAAAAGAATACAAAATTAATACACAGATTTTATCATCTAAAACCTGAAAAGTGTATTTTTTTATGCTCAAAGGCAGCAGCACTCCTTATTCTAATGTGACAATCGTGCAGGGAATTTACCTGGAAGCTTCCAAAACAGCTGCCACCTGGAAGGCTAACATAGCAGACATATGGGGGGCTGTTAGACGGGACCATTTCGTAAACAACCAGCGCTCCGTTCCGCAGGTCGGCCCCTCGGGTCAGCTTCATCTGCCAGAACTCCTGCAGAGCTTCCACCACGTTCACTGAGGGCGAGACATTAGTCTTTTTAACGCACCGAACGTGTTTTATTTCATGTCTTTAACGTCTAAACTGTGAAGTTTGGCACGTCCTTGGAGGAGCCTTCTTAAAGATGGTCAGAAGTAAACTGTTTCTACAAACTGAGGTTGTTCAAAAAGATATCTTGAACAGGTTAGATATTTGCTATGGATGCACGATATTGGATTTTTGGCTGATATTCAATATGTTAAAACTTATTTGGCTGATAACCAATATCAATACAGATATTTTATTTTCCTAGATCTACTTACAGGGAAAACATAGCTTTCTCTGCTGTGGAATTAAAATATTGCATTATTATATATATAAATAATTTAAATAAATAAACGGATGGATGGATGGATGGATGGATGGATGGATGGATGGATGGATGGATGGATGGATGGATGGATGGATAGATGGATAGATGGATAGATGGATAGATGGATAGATGGATGGATGGATGGATAGATGGATAGATAGATAGATAGATGGATATGTAAACAGCACCTTTTATATTGGTGAGTTATTTTTATGGAATGGCCGATGTCCAATATTTAACTTTATCGCTAATATTGACCAATACGATATCATGCCGATAATATTGTGCCGATAATATCGTGCATCCCTAATATTTGCTCATAACTTTCCCACAGACTCCCTCTTTAAAAGATCTGAGCTAACACTTTAGGTATAAAAAAAACCAGCTCCAGGATTTTAAATTCCTTTGTGACAAAGTTACATTTGGAAACAGCAACGGAGAGCAGTAAAATCTGAAAGCGAGTCAGAAACGATTCCTTGGATCTGGGTCTGCGGGGAGCTTTAAAAGTGGGATTCTTTGGCTGCTCAGTCTGCTAAGCCTCAAGTGTTGGAGTTTGCTCATTTTCAAGTATGCTTTAGTGCTGCGGCCGGGTCGGTATGACGGAAAACAAAATCTCTCTCAACAAACTCCAAAGAGCGCTGCAACATCAGAAGCGTAAATCCCTGATCTGCAGTCCAGATAGCATTACAAGCTTCCCTCTGAGGGGCAGTAAAACACCCAGCGCATGCTCTCATTTTGTTGTTAGTCAGCCATAAAATAAACTTTTATGTGCTTTTGATTTGTTTATAGACTTGTATTCCTCCAACACCACCGTCGGGGAGGCATCTGCTCCCAAAGTCGCTCTGCAGGATGAAAACATATCCAAACATCTTTAGACTTCGGAAGAATCTTGTAGAAAAAGATGAACTCCGGCAACAGATGGTCTGCCCCCCACAGATCCCAACATTATGGAAGGAGTCAGGGGGATTACCGCACAAACTAAATCCATGGCCGGGTGAACTTTTGGGGAGCTGGAGCTAATTTTAAAGTCAAATAAAGTCAGTTTAAAATCTTGATTAGATGTAACAGTGGTACTGCTCCAAATGTCAACCAACATCATAGCATGACTAAAGTAATGTGAGGAAATTTACAATGGTCCTTTAATTATTTTGAAGGCATTAGGAAGCCTAAAGGGGTTAGAGGAGGGATGAGGCTGTCAGTGCACGTAGGGGCAATCTTTTGCAATAAATCCTATTTGTATTAACTGTAGCTACCTCAGTTTCCCCTCACAACAGGTTAAGTCACTGCTCGATAATGAGTTATAAGTCTATGAACTCTCAAAATAGACATTACTGTTTAAACTCCTGTATGTTAGGTGTAACAAGATGTTTACAATAACCTATTTCTCGCTATTCACGTCCTTTTTTTTGTCATGTTGTGGACCAGTACTGTGTCCAAATGCAAAATCTTACTTCAAACCTACAAAGCCCTCAACAACCTAGCTCCATCTTATATTAGAGATCTTATTGTTCCATATTTTCCTTAAAAAAAAAAGCACTTCACTCTCAGACTGCAGGCTTACTTGTGGTTCCTATAGTTTTCCAAAAGCAGAATGGGAGGAAGATCTTTCAGTTGTGGAACCAACTTCCAGTTTTTGTCCATGAGGCTGACACATTGTCCAGTTTGAAGACTGGGATTAAGACGTTCCTTTTTGATAAATCCTATAGTTAGGGTTGGCTTGTTATGCTGCCATAGGCTTTGAATACTGGAAGACAAATTGACCACAGTTCTTAAAATTGGATATTTTCATTCGAAATTATTTATTTCTTAACATGTGATTCTCGACCTGCCATTGTGTATCTGTTCCCCAAACCCACCCGGTCCAGGCAGATGACCACTTGTCCTGAGCCTGGTTCTGCTATAGGTTTCACCCTCATGAAGGAGTTTTTCCTTTCCACTGTCGCCTTCATGCTTGCTCAAGGTGAGAGTTCTGCAAAAAGCAGTCTGCTCCTCAGATAATTAATGTTATTAACTTGCTTTTTAAAACTTATGAACGTTTCTGTTCAGTGCCCTGTTGTGACTTGGCGCTGTAGAAATAAACTGAATTGAGTCTGAAACGGGTCTTTTATCTTTATCTCACATGAAGATCATCCAAACTAATCTGGCCCAAATCCGCACACAACCACCGACGAGTTAATGGCGATGTAAACAGTAATTAGGATAAATAAATAAAAACATGGTGGACGCAGTGCAGCCATGGAGGTCTAAACGCGGACACAGACTCCATTTCTCCGTGTTTACCCCTCCAGGAGCCTCACCTCTGCCGTAGCCCTGCGTGTGCTTGGCGAAGCTGCGGACCACCGCCTCCACCGCCTCCTTCAGCACCGCCGGGTTGCAGCGAGCCGCCCCCGGCCCCAGCCCGGCCCCCGCCCCGCCGTACAGGCTGTGGAGCTGCAGCGGCGGCGGCGGAGGGGGAGGCCCGGACGAAGCGCACAGCGAGGCCGGCGACGACAGCAGCGGCGCGACGGGGACCGTCACCCCGGGCCGGAGAGACGAGCGGAGCGTCCCGCTCGGTCCAGAAGCGAATCCTATCCCGGGCTGCAGCCTCTGAGGGCGGACACTGTCCGGGAGGACGGTGGATTCCATTGTCCCGACGTCACGTCTGAGGAGTCCGGTTCAAGGAGCTGGACCGACCGAAGCGACAGCCGACACCGAAAAGGTCGTTTCTAAAGGCGGACAGGTCGGAGCGTTGGCCGAGGTTCGACAGTCGCTGCTGGAAGAAGTGGTTTTGGGTCGTTGGCTCGACTCGGACTGGTTCGGATGAACATCCTCACGCTCTGGATTAGGTCGTTGGACAGTCAGTCAAGTGGTGCCTTCAGGGACTGCTCGGACGCGGCGTTTAGAGTTAAGAAATGAGCGTTTTAGTGCGTTTTACGCTCTATAATTTGGTTTTCCCACTTTTTATGTTTTGCGGCATATGAAGCGAATCGTTTTAGTCATTTTAAAAAGTATTACTTTTTTCTCTAAGTTGTTGCAAACAATTTTGTTTTTGCCTTTAGTGTTTTACCTTTGTTTATATGACATGTTGATTTGACTGTGTTTATAACTTCTTTCATTTGGTTTCAATTGCTTTTTGTTGAATTATTAGTCTGTCTGTCTGAAACAGGTTTCTCTTGAAAATGAGTCCTCGTGACTCAATGAGACTAACCTGTATAAATAAAGGTTGAATGAAAAATGTATTGTTGTTATTATTACTACTGATTACTGGTTTCGTAATTACAATACATGTCAGTTTATTTTAGTTAAGTTTAATTTGTTGTTTTCAAGTTGTGGATGTTTTACTTGAAAACCTAATTTTGTATAAGTTGGTACCTCTAGCAGAAAAAGGGAGACAATTGTTTGCTTACTCTGCATTTATTTTATTTTATTTTTCTACTAAAAGAGCAACACATTTTTATTGTTTTCTGTTTTCTAAAGATGTTAACTTTTTAACTTTAAGTGTAAACCTTCAATTCTTTAGGCATGAACCTCTTCAATTTAAGAGAAAAAAGCATATTAGGCTCTGTTTACACATTTAAAATGTATTTTATTCTGAGATTTCTATGTTAATCTGAAATAAATGCCTTAAATTTATTTACCTGGGACTACTTTTAATTATGGTAAAAGAGCTAGATGTTTACTATAAAGTTTGTTAACAATGAAAATGTGAAGCAAGACCATAAAAGACAAAAGTTGGACTTTCGTTCGGACCTGAGGAGGAAATTTTAGTAACTGGACCTCAGTGATTTTTAATTGATTACCCCTGCCCTAACCCCTTTCCCATCTTAAATGTGTGGAAGCCTATTTGTGCCACTTATATTAAAACATTTCCTAATTGTGAGATTAATTTAGCATCGTATAATTAAAAATGAGTTCATGTCATAATTATGCCTTAGTACTTTTAACTATGACTTTGTCTCTTTAAATGATGACTTTGTTCCACTTATTTGTAACTTAGTATCTCAAATTATGACTTATTGTTACAGTAAGGCATATTTTGAGAGTCTCTCCTAATTATGAGCTGCTAAGTCATAATTTTGAAATATTATCTTGTAATTGTGGTTCTGAATATGCTGTAGGGGGGGGGGGACTAAAAGTGGCTAAAATGGGCTTCCACACAGCCATAAAAACAAAGTTTCTATGATTACACAGAAAAACACTACTTTTTTTTTACATTGCTTAAAGAAAAATGAAAAATTCTGAACAGTTTTACAGTTAATCAACTTCACATTTAACTTTGATTTTTTAAATGTATTTTGCATTATATTTTATATATTATTAGCAGTATCATAAAACATGTTGGCACTCTAATGCAGTCCAATGGCTAAACTGAGCCACGTTTAAAAAAAATGACACATTAAGAGATAAAACTGCGCTTCGCAGTGCATTTGTTTAGTACATGTGTTTGTATTATGTAATAGTACTTCGAAATATGGATCAAAGTTCACTGAGTACAAAACATTCAAAGATGACAAGGTACAGACAGAAAGTACTTTTTTTTTTTATCAATGGCAGTAAAGGATGACCCAGATCTTAGCTGTAGTGGAGTTTACAACGTTTTCTGTGGCACGTGAACGCAGCACAGGGAAATCTGAGCCTCCTGGTTCTCCTCTGGCAGCAACAGGGAGCAAACCAGGGAGGCTCAAAACCTCCTGCTCTGCTGCCTGAAACATGATTAAACTGTAGCTGCAGAAACTTTACTGGATGAGAGAAAGGCAGATAAAAGTTTGAAGCACCTGGGTGTGTGACTCAGCTCGTGGACCACCTACTTTGGCAAAACAAAGACTTTTGAAGCGGAAATGAGACCTCCTTCCTTTAAGAACAACAACAACAAAAAAAGTGTGCTGTAAGCATTTGAATAAAACACAAATGTGCACTAAAGTGAACTTCCAACTCAAGTCTTTGTGCACATTTAAAGCAGAACAAAGCAAGACCTTCAGAAGATACTTACACACAAAAAATCAAACTGTTACAAACACAGCTAAAAGAATAATGACATGTGTGCATTATTTAAAACTGGTTTCACAGTGGCATCAATTCAACTGTGTATACGTGTGTGTACATGTACACACACGAAGTACCGGGGGTTGTACTTGATCGTTAAGCCGTTAGCCGTAAAGGCATTTGCACAACAAACTTTAAATGAACCTCAAAGACATAATGATGGTTTTACAAAAGAATGACGTTTGTGTTTTATCTGGAATAATTAAAGTACGTGTTACTTCTGATGAGCTCCCCAGCTCTGTAAGTTTAAATCAGTTTATTTTTTTACATGAATAAAATGTTAATTTCAGGACAAAGTGACTTATGTATGAACAGTGACATCTGAACATCTTTGTCTGATAAACTTGTGCAAGCTTTCCATCGTAAGTCAGAAACAGATATTTCTAAGCAGGTCAAAGATCCGTTTGTTCACATCTAAAACATTAGACGGCCAAGGCCTTTTGGTGTCCTTATCATATCTTTTAGTTTAAAAGCAGATTCTCAGTTTCTTCTTCCTGCTGTGGACACGTTTCATGCTTCAGTCGGGTCGAGGCTGCCTCACATGCCTTACGTTACCACACAGGAGACGCTTGTGTGTCTGGAGCTCCTCACAGCGTAAACACCCTAACCTCTTTTTTTTTATCATTATTTCCACTGACACAGTGAGGTCTAGTGGTGAACAGACACAAAGAATAATGTTGAGTTGAAAACTACCCCCCTTTTTTCCTCCCCACACATCTGGTTTGGATTAAACAAAATCAAATTCTTGAAACTTGAGGCCAAGCTTCGCCCGCAGATGAAGAGCAGCTCAGGATGTTTGTGTATTAAAGCAGCTTGTGTTGTTTGCGCTCCTCTTGCTGACTGAGGTGAATTATTTTGTCAGTTTGATCAGAAGTGCTCACAGATTAGATCATTTCGAGGCTGAACTCCCCTCGACTTGTTGGCATTCAGCTCCACTAGAACCATTTCCAAAAAGCTGGGTCATCGAGTGAAAAGTCATCAAAAACAGGAAGCAGTGATTTGCAAACCTTATATTTTATTCACGATGGAACATAACCAATGATGAAACGGAGAAATCGTATTATTTATTTGAGTAAAAACTAATCATTTTGAGTTTGATGGCTGTAGCACATCTTTAAAAAGTGGGGGCAAAAGGCTTTAAAAATAAGAGTTGTGCATAAAACACAGCCGGAGGAACTTTTTTCTATACATCAGTTTTTTTTTGTCGGTTCTGGTTTTGGGTTTTGTTTGTTGCATTTATGATTCAATGCAACAAAATCAACTAATTTAAAAGGTAACAGATCATTGTAATACTTGGTTTATTTACATAATGACTTTAATCGCTGGATGTCTGACCCCTGAGCTGCAGGCTTTCCGTAATTGTGGCCCCCTGAGCAGTTTAGTTGAATAGCGCTGCTTTAGAGTCTGGAATACAGTTTATTGCATTTCCAAAACCTAAACTGAGTTTGGAAAAACGTAAAAGATGATAAAGACCTGTAGCTGACCTCATGAGCAGCAGAATACAACAGTGATAAACAGGAAGTGCCGCATGTTCATCTGCATGAAGGTAACCGCAGGTAAATCCTACATTTTCTGTCATAATTACATTGCATGCTTAATGATTAAATTAAAGGTTAATGCTTAAAGCTAGTTGTGCTTTGTTTTGTGTGTTTTGTATGTTCTAACTTCTGGTTGCATAAGTTTAGTCTTTGTTTTGATTAGCACTGAACCCCTGATGAGCTGCAGCCCAGCTCTGCAGGTAAGGAGTGTTTATCTTCGGGACAAATTAAGGTCACCGATTGGTCGATTGCTGACACGCTTACTGGATTGATTGACAGGTTGTGTCGCAGATCCGACTCATGGAAGAAATAAATAAATCAAACAAGAGCTGCGGCCGGCCATGGGTGGAGGCATGGTGGCCCAGGTGCAGCGGTGCTGTGTTTGTATATTGTTAATAAAAAGTTCTAAAAAACAGGGAGCGCCGGTCCTGCAGCCCACACATCAGACCGGCCCACCAGGAAATCTCCAGACCCTCCCGATTACTCACTCCGGGCACTAAACGGATTTTGTACAAAGTGTTTATTAGGATATGTAATTTAAAGAAGAGTGCTACGTTTGTAGTATCTTAGCTAGTGCGTCTGTATTGCACACTGCTAGCTTAGCGCTACTTCTTGTTGTGCCAAACTCTCTAAAATAATTATTGAATCAAGTGTTTACTTATGTAGGTAAACGTAGATGTTTAACAGCCAGTTAAAATACACCAGAATGCAGGAAATGGATTCTACGTTATTAAAAAAAATTTCAGGGGAAGGACCCCCAGACCTACCCCACCACTACCACCAGTGTATCCCCCACATTATGAATGCTTCTGACGCCAATGGCCACCACGTTGATCAAGCCAAGAGCCATTGTTAGCACTGGGGGCTGAGCACCCCTTAAGGATGGATTCTAGAATCGCCTCTGCATCAGAATAATTTAATCTGGAGAAATCCCTTTGAGCTGAAGGGAAGGTTAAAACATGAACACTTACTCAAATCATTGAGCTGCTTAAAGCTCTATCGTGCAAAAAGGCCATCTTCTCTTTTAACACGGATGGAGGCAAAGTGGAGCACTGCTCTGTGGTCAGATGGATGGAAATGTGAAATGTTTTAGATGTTTGTTCTTTTTGGAAACCAGAGATCACGTCCTCCGTACCAAAGAGGAGCGGGACCATCTGTTGTCAGCGCACAATCTGCTTCAACGGGAAAAACCTA